CGCTCTTTCCTACTTCCATGACAATCATAGCTCCTACCATCATTATGTGCATAAAAGAACTAAAGGAAGACTGTGCTGTTTCTCCAAGCTGCTTATAGCACAAGTAAACACTTTAATTTTGCCCACTGCTGTCTAGCTGGTGTACACCTTTGGGTCCCTCTAACCATACACAATTACCTTTGCCCCTTTAAAAGGAGAGGGCATGACAACTGTAGATAAATGTGAGGTTTTCATACACACAGTAGTTACTTCAAATACAATAATATGTTTATGCTCTCATTATCTGCTATTAAAGTAGAAAGATCTTCCACAAATAAGCATCCTGCATTATCTTCATCTAGCAATAAGGACAGTGTAGGACCTAAGGCCCAAGGATGCTGTTTCTAATTGTATCAGAATCATTTTATCCCTAATAGCATTCCATTCATTAGCACCCCCTTCGCTGTGACTGAGCTGTGGCAGACAGGGCTGTGAAGCACTGATGATAGGATTTTTTCATCTAAAAGCTTGTTCTCCAATACAAACTTGAGCACACCAAGTGCTTTAAAAATTAGCTTCCAACTTGAAAAGACCAGGAGAGACAGGCAGATAGACAGGCAAGCAGGAACAACTTGCAAAGCTGTCACTTTTTTTGCTGTCTTGTCCTGATCACTTGACAGGAAAATGTTATACCCATGCTTTCCAGGGAAGCATGGTGAGATTAGATCCTTCTTGCACTCTGGGCACACCAATATCTATCAGCACTGAGATTTCTTGTTAGAAAGCCCAGCACGGCCTCACACAAGCAGAGAAGTAAAACAGAACAGGAAGGGTTACACAGAACTTGTATTTCCCAGCAGATGCTGTACCTGGCCAAACATGTATTATATGTACCCAAAGCTGGCCAGAACTCAACCACAGCTGAACACAGTAAGTAAAAATATAAAAATTCAAGTTTGGCAGGTTTGAGTCAATACCACTCATCATAGATGTTATCTTTTCCTCACACTTAACCGCTTCAATGTGACCGCTAAAATAGAAGGTGGACAATAACATTTGCTACTATTGCTCTGTACCTTAAAGAGCTCTAAAATCCGTGCTTATTCCAAACAGTCCCGAACAGGACTCCCTTGACTCTAATGGGCTTATTACACATGCAAATCACAGGGAAACCATGGTAGAAGTATTTTTTAGAGTGTTCCAGCACAGTTTTAGTCACCAAAACCCCAATACACCTTCAAAAGAACTTTGTGAATTGAAATGCAAGTTATGTAGATCTGCTGACTATTACAATAATTTCTAAGTAAACACTATGCTTTTAGAAACTATTACTGAAGTGAACTGTTAAACTAGAGACAGGAGTTCTGCAAAACTGCACAACTTGTTAACATGCTAATAAATGCATGTCTACCTGGCAGATAAGCTTTTTCAAATTCATAGCATGAGTGGGGAGCAATGTGATGAAGAGGTAGATAATTTACAAGGTGAATGTTCACTCCTGCTGCATTTAAACACACAGAAAACACTGTACTTAAACCTTCCTCCCCTTTCTGGTGGATCAAAAACATTTAGGATCCACCTCAAATATAAAATAATCATCGAAGCTGCATTTTGTATATGGAATTACCAGCTGCATTAAGGCTGACAAATGCAATTAAGTAACACTAACACAGTTATCCTTTGCAACAGAAGGTAAAAGCATTTTAAAGGGGGGGACCAGCTTGCAAGGTTTAATGTATATGAAAAATTTTATCATTTCAAAGAAAACCATGAAGAGCTCTGTCCAGAGCGCTATCAGCCCATCTGGTAGACCTGATCCCCACTGACTATAAAAGGAACTCTAACTCTCACTGCTTAATAACTCTGATTTGATACTGTAAACATTACAGACAGAATCCTGTCCATTAGGGATGAAGAATACTACATATTGTTCAGTGCTATCCTTTTCTTTAAAAGTTTTCAATTTCTTAATAGAAAAGGAAGATTTTTCTACCAGTATGTTGGGAAAAGGCTTGTCTTAGGAGTTCTCTCCAAAAGCCTTTGTCAAATGGGACCCTATAGTGTGGAAAGCTGAAAGTTGCTCCCAGGGTTCCCACTCAATCCACCATCTGACTGTTAAGCTTCGAGAAACACTGCACATTGTGAAAGTGGGAAGCTTCTCACTGTATGCAGTCTTTAACATTCAGAGCTACAGCAGGCATTTTTAACTTTGACTTTTTCACTAACAACCTTGTTTTTGAAATATAGATACATGCTGTGCTTTTGAAAGGTCCCAAGGCTTCACTTCAATATGCTTAACTAATATTAAAACACATTGTGCTTTGTTTAGTGTCCTGGAAATGCTAGTTAGAGAGCACATTACCCAAAAAATGTGAACATCACATGAAGAAATCTTAATCCAAACAAAGCCTCTCCTGCTCTAAGATCTGAACAGTTTAGTAATATCTTTACGCATTGCCATGTCAACTACATCACTGAAGGCAGCTGAGGAAATCAGCAACTTGAAATATCACATTTTTGTTTCTCAAAGGGGATACACAAAGTGTAAGCCTTCTGCACAGAGACTGAAAAAATAATACCTTTGGCATCATCAGAGCCTGAAGCCAATAGCTTTGGGTCCATCAAGTTAAAGTCAACACTCCAGCACCTCTTCTCATGCTCCTGTTTAAATAAACAAGAAAAATATTGCAAGGTATTGAGATGTAATCTGATAAAATAGTAAAAGAAAGAACATATGCTGTTCGGTATAAATTGTCATGAGATTCCTGGACAGAGAAACTTAATGTGTTTAGCAGTTTATCAAAAAATATCTTTTTCTCCCAAACAGACCAATGCTTGTAGTATGCTAGACACAAAAGCAGAAAACATTAGAACAGCAGTTTTAAAAACCACAACTGATTTTTTTTTTTTTTAAACATGAAACTATATTTTCAGGAAGTATACACTGAAGATCTGGTTTTGCAGCATGGTTTGACTGGCTATGGTTCCACTGTGTGCTGCTTCTTACTCTAGAAGATCACAGTTTTATCTCCCAATACTGATTAGATGCCCGTTCAAAGCCATTTCAAATATCTCCTTCTCTTGAAGTCCCTCAAAACACAAAAAAGCTCTATTTGCTATGCTGGCACATCCCACATGGAAGTAAAACACTGCATTGAACAAAACCCAAAATTCAGTCAAACCCTTTTTTTAAAGCCTTCATACAGGCTTTCAAGATGATGACATGAAAAGCTCGCCAGGATAAAGTCACTAAAGGATTTCTAATATATGCAAAGCAGATGTCACTATACATGCCTCTATGCGAATCCAAATAAAAAAATCCAAGTAATCTGATAGGAAGCAAAATGAGTTTGTTTTAACATAAGCAACAGCTGGTCTTCTCTAGGTTCATTATTCACCCTCAAAGAAATGCAAAATATATTTGCGAGGAAAACACACAAGATTTATTTTGTCCAGTATAATTTCTTTTTGAGATATGCAAAGGATTAGTGAAAACAATCATTATAAAATGGCCAAAACACAATGAAAAAAGTGAAGAAGGGCTTAAATAGCAATTAAAATTTATGTTGAACGGTCAAGAAGGGGGAACTGAAGGCTAGCCTGCAGTTCATTCATTATCACTTACTAGTTTCAATGTACTATGCTACCCACACAACAGCCTGCAGCACTTCCAGCCTCTCCCCAAACGGACCATCTTCCCTTCCAACCTCTTGTTCTGATCACAAGACTTGCAGAATCCATTGTATAAAAACACAATATTAAATAGCATGAAAAGACAAAATACCAAGAATTTCTCCCAAAACCAGTCTTGCTGTTGAGCTCATTCCACTTACGTATGTGCGTTGCTCTGCCATGCACAAGACTGTACCAGGAAGGGTTCTGTCTACCACCTCCATTCTCCCAGCCTTGTCAGTTAAGCCTTCATTTTATTCTTCTGCTTTATGAGCACTTGCAGCAATCACTGCAGGATTTTACAGAAGGCTTTTGACAAGACGGAAGTGGAATAGGCATGAAGAGACAGAGGTTTCTCAAGAAAGGTGAGAAAATTTCCAAAAACTGGTTTCTCCCTGTGCAGATTCCCTAACCCAAGAGCAGCAGCAAGAAAACATCAACCACCTCAAGACTGTGACAAGAAGATATAGCTGCCTCCCATGGAGGGCTACAGCTCCATAAAGCTGTGCATATGAGACTTTTATGAAATGGGAGGAGTACCCATTTCACCCCGTGGAACATAAAAGCCTATAAGTGGACTAGAAGCAGAATCTCAGACTGAATACTGCTCCCTCAACATGGTCCATGGTGTGGGACTGGATGTTACCTGGTACACCTTGGATCTTTGTCCCGTGAATCCATCCCAAAGGATGACGGTGCCTTCATAGTCACTGCTGGCTAGCAGGTTCTTGTGGTAACTACTCCAGCTGATACAGCTTAAAAAAAAAAAAAGAGGTCAGTCTTACCTTACTACACAAAAATCACTCTTGCAATATGTCAGTCACTAAGTCTTGGCAAAGCATGCAGCATTTCATCAAGCCACCCACTGAAACAGTCAGGAAAGGACAAAACGAGCGAGTCCAGAGGAGGGCCACGAAGATGATCAGAGGGCTGGAGCACCTCTCCTATGACGAAAGGCTGCGAGAACTGGGCTTGTTCAGCCTGGAGAAGAGGAGGCTCAGAGGAGACCTCATTGCAGCTTTCCAGTATCTGAAGGGGGCCTACAAGGGTACTGGGAGAGGACTTTTTACAAGAGCCTGTAGTGATAGGACAAGGGGTAATGGGTATAAATTGAAATCAGGGAGGTTTAGATTAGATGTCAGGAAGAAATTCTTCACAGAGAGGGTGGTGAGGCACTGGAACAGGTTTCCCAGGGATGTTGTGGATGCCCCATCCCTGGATGTCTTCAAGGCCAGGCTGGATGAGGCTTGGAGCAGCCTGGTCTAGTGGAAGGTGTCCCTGCCCATGGCAGGGGGGTTGGAACTAGATGATCTTTAAGGTCCCTTCCAACCCTAACCATTCTATGACTCTATGATTCTATAAAACCAAAACCCACCAGAAACACAACAAACCTTGCCCCCCAAGCAAAAAGGAAAAGCTTTATTGGCTAAAGTGACACTGCCTCCCTCAATACAAAGTGCTAGTGCTTGGGTTTTTTTTACATATTTGAATTCCACACAGTCTCAAAGAGAGCTCAGGGTTTGACTGCTTAGCCTCTTGCCAATAGCTACTACTATTATTACCATAAAGATAACTGCTTACCTAACTGAAGCTACATATGTAAAACACATAGCTGCATGGACAGTAAATCAACCTCTGCACAGCACACCTTATGTTCTATACCTGTACCTCCATGCAAATGAAAGTTTGACTTCTGAGAAACTACTTCCAGCTTTCTGTAAACGAAGACAGACACCCCCTCCCCCCCTCGTACCCAGAAGGAAACAGCCATTGTTCACTATGAGGAGTTCAGGAGAAGTTTCTGATGGAGAACTGCAGTGTCTCTCACATAGGTTTGTATTTCAATCTGAATTAAGCGGCTGTGCAAAATTAAATGACAATTCCACCAACAAACTCTAACTAACAGTGAACAAAACAAGAGCAGTGACATTGCCAAGTCACATTTATAGCATTCTGGCACTATGCCTCCCAAAAAAATGTGACAGAGGTAGGAAAATTTGTAATATATGTTCACCAATTTTTGGACCATCTGGCACAAAAGAACGCCAGTTGGCATCAACTGTGATGCATGTAGCAGAAGCTGAACTGACAGATCCAATTCGTGCAGGTCAAACAGCTCTGACACAGTTAACTAGATTATGGCAGCCTTGGGGCCAAGTTTTAACCAACAATATGAACTAGAAGTCCATGATTCTGTAACTTTTTAGTACTGCTTTGATCAGTGCAGCAACACACTGCTATAGATACATGGATACTGATTTAGGAACATCATACCTTGGCAAATTCTTGGTTCCACTATATACTTGCATCCTATTTCCCTTAGGGATTTACACACAGGAGAAAAAGCTTTCTCCTTTAAGGTAAAAACCTATTTTCCAATTAGTTAAACAACAGCAAGCAGCACTGGTGTTCTGCTACTGAGTAAAGTGGAACTTCACTTACTAGGGTGTGAGTTTTGAAACTACAGGGAGACTGCACACATCAACTTCTAACTATAGCTCACTACTATTTAGCTGTGTGCAATCAACAAGCTTATTTAAGGTTCTGGAGCAGCCAAATAACAGGAGCCAAGAAACTCAACTGGTTTTTAAGACAAATTTGAAGAAACACAGGCAAGGAGCAACATGCCATGGGTTCTTGTATCAGCAGGACACTTCACTGAGTGATCCAAAAGACTTCCAGCTCTGACTTCCTCTGTCTGCACAAATTAATCTGTAGCTTACAGAAACGAGACAAAGTCATCCAACATCAGCATCTTTCTACAAGCCTGTCGCATCACTGCACGATGCTTGGAGAAAACCTTCAGGACACACTTTCTGCTGGGGATCATGGGGAACTTCCTTTAGATCCAGTACAGGCCAGTACATAATGATATTGACGACACTGTTTTCAACCTGTCAAACATTAATCCCTGGGCATACCTCTACCTATAGTCTGTTCACACACTTGCACATTTTCTGCGTGTAACAGCATCCCTTGGTTTTAAAACTTCACATTCAGAAGTTTGTAGACAGAAGGACTCTTGGCTGGGTTAAAAACTGGCTGGAGGGCAGAGCAGAGTTGTGGTAAAGGGAGTTAAGTCGGGTGGGCAGCCGGTCACAAGTGATGTCCCCCAGGGCTCAGTTTTGGGGCCGGTCTTGGTTAACATATTTATCACTGATCTGGATGAGGGGGTGAGTGATCCCTCAGTACATCTGCAGATGACACTAAGTTGTGTGGA